AGGATATCAATATCTTAAGATATCAATATCTTGGGATATCAGTATCTTAGGATATCATTATCTTAGAATATCATTATCTTAGAATATCAGTATCTTAGGATATCAATATCTTAGGATATCAGTATCTTAGGATATCAATATCTTAGGATATCAGTATCTTAGGATATCTGTATCTTAGGATATCAGTATCTTAGGATATCAATATCTTAGGATATCAATATCTTAGGATATCAGTATCTTAGGATATCAATATCTTTAAATATCATTTTCTTAGGATATCAATATCTTAAGATATCAATATCTTGGGATATCAGTATCGTAGGATATAATTTTCTTAGGATATCAATATCTTAGGATATCAGTATCTTAGGATATCAGTATCTTAGGATATCAATATCTGAGGATATCATTATCTTAGGATATCAGTATCTTAGGATATCAGTATCTTAGGATATCAGTATCTTAGGATATCAGTATCTTAGAACATCAGTATCTTAGGATATCAATATCTTAGGATATCAGTATCTTAGGATATCATTATCTTAGAATATCATTATCTTAGGATATCAATATCTTAGGATATCAATATCTTAGGATATCAGTATCTTCGGATATCAGTATCTTAGGATATCTCGAGATATCAATATCTTAGGATATCAATATCTTAGGATATCAATATCTTAGGATATCATTTTCTTAGCATATCAATATCTTAAGATATCAATATCTTGGGATATCAGTATCTTAGGATATCAATATCTGAGGATATCATTATCTTAGGATATCAGTATCTTAGGATATCAGTATCTTAGGATATCAGTATCTTAGGATATCAGTATCTTAGGATATCAGTATCTTAGAATATCAGTATCTTAGGATATCAATATCTTAGGATATCAGTATCTTAGGATATCAGTATCTTAGGATATCAGTATCTTAGGATATCAGTATCTTATGATATCAGTATCTTATGATATCAATATCTTAGGATATCAATATCTTAGGATATCAATATCTTAGGATATCAGTATCTTAGGATATCAGTATCTTAGGATATAAGTATCTTAGGATATCAGTATCTTAGGATATCATCCAGTATCTTAGGATATCAGTATCTTAGGATATCAGTTTCCTTAGGATATCAATATCTTAGGATATCAGTATCTTAGGATATCAGTATCTTAGGCCGGATATCAATATCTTAGGATAACATCCAGTATCTTAGGATATCAGTATCTTAGGATATCAGTTTTCTTAGGATATCAATATCTTAGGATATCAGTATCTTAGGATATCAATATCTTAGGATATCAGTATCTTAGGATATCATTATCTTAGGATATATTATCTTAGGATATCAATATCTTAGGATATCAATATCTTAGGATATCAGTATCTTAGGATATCAATATCCTAGGATATCATCCAGTATCTTAGGATATCATTTTTCTTAGGATATCAATATGTTAGGATAATGTTAGAATCCCTATCTATCCATCGGGATACATCTAGTTATGCAAATTTTTTGTTCCAACACATAACAACGCAGCAAAGTTTAAAACATGTTTCTTAATACAAATAATAGACAAAAAATATTACAACTAAGACTGTTAAATTGTTCTACAGGTTATTTCCTTCAAGTATTCTATCTGACTCGGTCATCTTGACCGTATATATGTATGCGGGTTTGCTAAATAATGTTGAACAACATGCAAATATAGCGATCATAACAACGGCTTTGACAACCCGGGATTAGCAACTGCTTATTTCTGTTGCGATATTTTTTATTTCTGTTTGGAAACTTATTGCTCAAAACGAGCCATCAAATTCATTAAAAAATTAAAACGAATTTCAATTGCGTGTTGAAAATAAGAGATGGACTCACAACGTTGCTACATGGTTGTAAGGCAAAAAAAAAAAATTCTACCGTACCGGGTTCGAACCGGTGACCTAAGGAATACTGATTTGGTAATAACTAACTCCTTTGCTCTACCAACTGAGCTAACAGTAGATTTTAAAAACTAACTTCTATTTCATACATTTACACATGCAAACTATGAGAAACCTCTTGTCGTTTTATTACAAATTTGTCAGAAACTAGTTGCGATGCTAATTGATCGCCTGCCACATTTGGCCCAGGCTTGCCCGCGTTAATTGGTCGCGTTACCTGTCACAGTTGGCCCAGACTTGCGCGCGTTAATTGGTCGCGCTACCTGGCCCAGGGTTAGGGTTAGGGCCAGCAAAGTTGCGTCATAGATTTTGCATGCTAATTACTTTCGGAGCAGCGTGACGTCATAGATTTTGGAAGCTCATTATAAAATCCGCCAGATTGTTAGCCGAACAAAGTGACGTCATAGATTTTGGAAACTCATTATAAAATCCGCCAGATTGTTAGCCGAACAAAGTGACGTCATAGATTTTGGAAGCTCATTATAAAATCCGCCAG